CACCGCTTCGAAGAATCGGATCAAAACAACTTACAACAATTTGTATGTTTTCATCTTTCCTATAGAATAATTTGAGCATGTAATTGAAAACCTCAAAGGCAATAGATTATTTACTTCTTTATACATTGTACATCCTCACCGGCGCATCATTGCCTCTCCTCTTCATATGCTCGAACCTTCTAATTTTATATAACCTGGTATGTTCATACATTCATCTCAATATCCTTATTTCAGCCATCTTCATCTTCTGGACATGAGAGGTCTTGACCAGCCAACACTCTGCTCCATACAACATAGTCGGTCTGACCACCGCTCTATAAAACCTACCTTTAAGTTTTGGTGGCACATTCTTATCACATAGAACACCAGAAGCGAGCCTCCATTTCATTCATTCCACTCCAATATGATATGTGACATCCTTGTTGATATTTCCATTCCCTTGTATAACAGACCCAAGGTACTTGAAACTTTCTCTTCTACGAATGACTTGTGAATCAACCCTCACGTCTTCGTCCATTTCCCGAGTCGCGCTACTGAACATGCACTCCAAGTATTCTGTTTTGGTCTTTCTCGTCATGCAAGAGAAACATTCTGCCCCGGTTCTTTCAGACTTATGGAAAATACCAACTGGTTTTATTCTTGAGGTATGTTCATGTATTGCAATCTAACCTTAACATTTTGGTCTTTTTTGACAGAAATAAATACTGATCAAACATGTAATCCGTATACCTAACTCCTTAAACATTGTTCTTATGTCAAATATAGTCAGAGGAGATCTTTACAGGAATTGTGAGGGAAGTGAAGGAGGAAACTGGGGTAGGAAATTCACATTTTAACATATTTTTTTACTTAAACAAGCAATCCATAATGAGCAATTTTAATCAAAATGATGAATTTACTTTCTCATTATTCTATCCAGATTGATACTGAATTTGTGGAGGATATGACTTTCAGGTAACAAAAATCTTCCTCTTCAAAGGACCATGAATTTTTCATGATTATATGCCTTTTTAACGCTAGGAAGATCTATATTAGCATATTTTATAAGAACATGAAATGCTGATACGATAAGTATCCGAGCGAACTTTGCTCAGACACAGTGAATATCGAAGTACTACTTGTTATACTTCATTATTTAGGACACTTGACTGCTGCTCTCCATGTGTTGAGATATCTCAAAGGAACTGTTGATTTGGGTCTCTTCTATTCTGCTTCTCCTGATTTCTCTATCCATGCTTATACAGACAGTGACTGGGCTGCTTGCCCTGACACTCGTCGGTCTATCACATGATTTTTTGTTATTCTGGGTGGTTGTCTCATTAGCTGGAAATCTAAAAAAATAACCAATCATCTTTCTATCTTTTGTTGAGGCAGAATACAGGGCCTTGAGTAAGGTGGTAGCTGAACTAACTTGGTTTTCTAGGCTGATGTATGCCTTTGTCTGTTTCCCTTCCCATTTCTGTTTTTTGTGACAATCAGGCTGCTTTGCACATTGCTAGAAATCCTGTTTTTCACGAACGAACGAAGCATATTGAGGTTGATTGTCATTTCATACGAACTAAGCTCCATGGTGGTTTGATTCAGCTCTCTCATGTGGCTTCTTCTGACCAGTTGGCTGATGTTCTCACTAAACCTCTTCCAGGTGCTATTCATCATTATCTCTTGTTCAAGTTGAAGGTGGTCTCCCCCTCCAACTTGGG